AGAGAGAGAGAGAGAGAGAGAGAGAGAGAGAGAGAGAGAGAGAGAGAGAGAGAGAGAGAGAGAGAGAGAGGCTGGCTCGCGGATGCACAGACAGATGGACTGATGGATAGACAGACAGACACTGTAAGACAGAGAGAAATAAGCAGAGCGACAGCGACAGACATGTGAGTTTCTGACAGGTGTCACCAATGGATTTCCCTGAACTGCAGAAAGCAACATTTCAGCAATATCACTCCTTGCCCTCTTTCACCCAAAGAAGCTCATCCATTGACTCTCCGATGCACACTTGTCCAGTAGAACGCAGCACCATAGCACAYGCTGTGTGATGCTTTCTGTGGCTCTTTTCCAAAGTGGGATTTCCTCCCGCGAGTCCCGCAGGATCACTTCCTTCTCCACTTCCAACCAACTGACTTCATTCTCCCGCCCGACGCCCCCGCTTTTTCACGTCCCTACATACCTCTCTGACCCCCTAAACCCTCTTGCCCCTGCTTCAAAATCCACCGCCCACCCGCTGCATATCTACATCGAGAGGGTCGAACAACAGTCTGACTCACCCGCTGCATATCTACATCTGATAGGATCAGTCCAACAACACAACGACACACACGCATACAAGTACCATAAGTAACACTCTCAGGAAGTGACAGGAACACCCTCAACTACACCTCACACTACACATTGCAATATAGCACAACGCATACTAGCACAACGAACCTGAGCTCCGCGCAATACAGCTGGAGGGAATCGATATCCTACACTGCTAACTAATGAATGCCAACAACACAGTGTCACACAATTTACAAAATACCACAGCACAAGACACAACAAGACACGGCAACAAGCAGCCATAGTAATTGACAGTCAAGTTGAGTCAACAGCTCACAAACACAATACTCAAACAGGGTCACTCGTAGGATGCTTCAACAAAAAAAAAAGGACTGACAGAGTGCTGGGCCGAGCACCTCCCAGCCCTCTCATGCAACCTGTTCCTTCATAATTCACACACTCTTTTGTCATTGTCTAAACTGTACTCTACAGGGATGCTGGACCCGATTTCCAGCAGGTGCTGCTCCCGACCAATAGATGGAGCCTCCCCGACAGTGCTAGTGGTGCCTGCTCCTATCAGCACCCCTAGCACT